GATCAAGGGAAAGCGACCAGAATTGGTCAATCGTAAAGGTGTCATTTTCCAACAGGACAATGCTAGGCCGCACACGTCTTTGTCCACTCGGCAAAAATTTATGGATATTGATTGGGAATTGATGTTACACCCACCATATAGCCCTGATCTCGCGCCATCGGATTACCACTTATTTCGACCCCTGGACAACTCCCTTCGTGGTAAAACTTTGAATGATGATGACGCTGTAAAATCTCACTTAACTCAGTTTTTGGCCGAAAAGGATCAGACTTTCTACGAGCGTGGAATTTTCAAGTTGTCAGAGAGATGTCAAAAGGTCATCGAACAAAATGGAAATTACATTACAGATTAAACTTCATTCCAAGTAAAAAAAAATTTTTTATTTCATTGAACAAATCGGCAATTACTTAGTTACCAACCCAATACAACACGGTACGGTACAAGCGGTTTCAAAGAGACGCAAAATTGCAAAGCGCTGATGTTACGCGCGAATACAATTGACTGTTTGAGGAACTAAAGTAAATTCCCCTTAATTGATGGTCAGATCGTGCATAAAAATGGACAATCTGGGAAGAGGAAATCCGATCATTTGAGCCTTGCGGCTCGTTTTTTATAGTTGTTGTCAATAGGTAACTATAAACCGTATCTCGTATCTCCTCATCCCAAATTGTCTATTTTTGTGTACAATCTGAGCATCAATTAGGGAGAATTTACTATACTTCTTCAAGAAACGAATGCGAGCGAACGTGATGGAAATCGCCTCCGCCCACGGAAGGAAATCTCTATGCGCCGGTGCGCAGACGCGTACTCGCGAATTCCTTAACCTTCTTGATACGACAAATGAGAGGGCGAATGTTACATTTCTCCTTTCGAGACGCAATTCCCCGAGGAAAACTTCCGAACGCGATTACAACCTAATTCAACACGAAACGTACCGTCACCTCCGGTGAAGTGCGGCTTCGGCGAGGCGTAAAGCGCTGCAACGCAAGATACAGAGAGAGACACACACACGACTTTCCTCACACTAAATTTTCCGACCCATCGCACGCGAAAGGAAAATCACGAAAGATTACAAAGAGCGACTCGCCATGTTCCTGACAGATCGTCGGCCTGGTGGTAACCCCGAAGGCACGCAACACTTTGACTGGGCACTGGGTTAGTTCGCAAGCGATTTACAAAACGTCGGAACGCGACATGCGTTCGCCCGGCAGTGGTTTCTCGCGGTTTTCGGCAGCGATCGCTCTGCCCTTCCGTACTCCCACCCTACTCTGTACATATAATTAGGTCTTGCAAGGAGGGGTCACGGACATCTGGTCACCGATTTCAATGAAATTTTTTTTAATGAATCCAAACTGAAAATCACTTGTGTTATGTTCGAGCATTTGCGTGAATGGGCATTATGTATAATGATATTTAATGTTGTGTGTATAGATATCGAAAACAAGAAACGAAATCCACGTATTGCACTGGCTAAGTGGGTAAGGCATTGGGCCACAAATCCGGAGAATGTGGGTTCGATTTTTTTCGGCGGTTATATTTTTCTCCCTTTATTCTTGATAAGGAATTAAATTTCTGTACAAGTCATATTTTAATGTGGTCATGCCGCACAGTGGGCTGGATCGAGAAATTCAGTGACATTCTGTTATGACTTTTGAACAATTGCAAAGATATTGTAATGAAATTTTCACCAACAATATTTAAAAAATAGTTATTTTCAACTATAAATAATTAACTTTTTTTGCATTTGTTAAACAATAATTTTTAATTAATTTACATTGACATTTTTTGTGAAAAAAAATTGTTTAAATATAATGTTACAAACTATTTGTAACATTACAATAGTAACGTACCTGGAATTACTAGTGGGTCCTCGTAACCAGTGAGGATGCAATAAAGTACGCGTCCCAGAAAAAGGTCTCTGTATGCATTAAATCCTGAAGCTGCAGATTTATTGAAACAATAACAAAATGGTAAGATTAATTAACGTACTCTACATATTATCAAAAGTTCGAACTGTTGAAATTTACCAACTACATACAATGTATACAGAGAACTTTTTCTGGGACGCGTACTTAATTGCAGCCACACTGGTTACGAGGACCCACTAGTAATTCAAGTACGTTCGTATTGTAATGTTACAAAGTGTGTGTGTGTTCCGCGTTAAAAAAATATAGAAGCTATCTATATTGATAAAGCATACGCGGCTCGACCGCTCGACCCACACCGTCCCTACCATACAATAGATTCCGAAAATTACCAAATGACCCCATCTGTACTGCAAGCGTCTTTCCACAAACAAATAAGCGACCGTAGCAATAGTATCTAATTATCCGAAAAGCCGTTATTCCCTGCCTGTAATATTTCCTTCAACGCTGTCTATATTTGGTCGCCAAAATTCTTTCACCGTTACGTATTCCCTTTACCTTCTGCACAACACCAATTACCCAAGGCAATATCTTTTTCCCCAGTCTTATTACCTGCGACGGTCAACCTTCGAGATACGCGGATTATTCGCGAGATTCACTCGCAGGTACGATTCATACCTGCAAGTGATTCATACCTGCGAGTTCGGGGTAGTCATCTTTTCCCTTGCTCGCAATTTTTTTACCAATCAATCGAAACGACCGCTTCCCTTTCTAGATCCGGAAAACTTGAAAAAACAGTAAATCCGAGTGTCTCATTAAAAACTTCACACCCCTAACGAATCTTCTTAAAACGCAAATCAGACAACGAACAGACTTTATATCGATCTATATCTATATATCGACTCCGTCGATAGTCTCACCATCAACTCAATTCATTCTAAGCCATGTACAGTTAGTCACCCTAGCGTTAAAAATTGTTATGTTATGTTAAAATATAGTGTTATTGATATCAGCCAGTGTTAAAACCATTCTTTATCAACCTACCATCCGTGTCACTCGAAAGAGTCATAGGGAATCGCGCAGACTCGGTGTCATACACGATTGAATCGGAGATTTACGACCTCCGTAGATCTAACAGTTCATTGTTCGATCTCACCGGGAAAACGTTTA